GGATGAATGTGTTGGATCAGCACTTATTTTTATTCTTATAATTTATAGAGCTGAGTAAATGTATATGGTACTTTATAGAACATAAAGGATGAAAGACAGAATTCCTGTCCTGTGAAGTTTACAGTCTCATTCAGACATAAACTAAAACACTGGATGATAACCCCTAAAACATTTTTTTCTGCCAAAGTGATTGGAGAAGACATGAGCACTGCCAACACAATGGATCGATGTTTTACATGTCCCAGTCCACAACCCCAAGAGCAAACCTTGTGACTTACCAATGGTTATTTACCAATTTCTTTTTTTATCTGTGTTCCATATACATTCTGAAATATTTGGGGGAAAAAATGTGTTTATTTTCATGGCTCCTCTTTGATAACATTAGGATTTATTAAAAGACTCAAATCATAGAGTAATTGTGTTAGAAGCATGGAGACTACAGCGATCAAGCAGCCCAATCAAGTCACTTTTCAGATGGAGCCAACAGCCAACAAGGTGAAGGTCAAGTAATTCACCCAAGGTCACCCATCAATTAGCGGAGCTGGAACTCGAACATGAGAACCCCAACGCACAGTCTTTCTCCTTCAGAAGTAAATCAACTCATAGAAGTACCATTTGTTTATTTCCCCATTGATATTCATGAAAATCATGTGACTCCTCTATGCCATTTTCTCTGAAATTCATCTGCATTATGCTGCACTTTAACAAAAGCATCAGCAAAGTACACCAGGAGCTGCTTTCTAAGGTCCTGACCACAGATTCTGATAGCCCAGAGTAAAGGATTGGCCATATTTAACATGGAGCCATCTCTGTCAGGTGGCTTTTCTGTCTCTTGAGTCCACTTTAAAAGCTTTCTCCCTACAAATCAGGTGGTGCCCACTCTCAGCAGTCACATTTAAATCAACCAAAAAATGTAGGAAAAACTTGCAGTTTGAAGAATTTGGGTGTCTAGAACAGCAGCCTACAGAAAATAATGTACAATATGTGGTAGATTAATTGGCTGTGAAATTACAGTTTAAGCAACAAAGCTTTTTAAAGTGTTAGGAATGTGCAGAAGCATGTAAACAAACTGATTTTCATTATTTGCTGAAGTCAAAGAGTTTGCCTTTTCTCCATGCCTTTCTTTCTTCCTTTCTCTTTATAAATGTCTTACAAGCACTTGCTCTGGGATCATTGCATTTAAAAAGCTTTCCTACACACCACTCTCTGAAAAGACAGATTTATTTGCAGAGGTGCTGAATGATTCTTAGCTAAAGTGATCTGCAGTGGTTTCTGTGGCTGTTAAAAGCTAATAAAGCATTACACAAATCAAAGGTATTATATCAATGTTATGATGATGAATAAGAAAGGTGAACGGTCATTATTGTTGGGTAGTTTAGTGATTGCCTGGCACTTTACAACTGCAAAGGACAACAGAGCAATTAATCCAGCCCACTCATTTTAAAAATGAGGAAAATGAGGGCTAATAAGTAGAAGTGATTTGTCCGGGACCCCACAACCAGTTAGGGGCTGAGCTGGAGACAGAACCTTACAAAACTACATTCCAAAGGAAGTTCTCTCGTGTGATACCCTCAGGTGTTGGTGTGATACCCTGCACCACATCATACATGTCAGATCCCTTATTCTTGCCCGAGAGCAGCCTATGGGTCAGTGACTGAAGGTGTCCAGCACTAAAGCCAACGACCAAGAAAGGTCAGTCATCTTTAGACCCATGTTTCCCAAAGTTAAGGCAGGGGAGACGAGGCAACTATTTTGGAAGAGAGAGGCCATTAGACTATTTATTCCACAGCAGTTAGCCTATGATCACAGCAATATAGTCAACATAAATGCACTCAATCAGATTCTGAAAAAACTTTCAATTTTCAAAATGTTCATTTTTTCCATTTCATTGGAATTCTACAGCATGCCCGATTTGGCTTTTCTATTTCCAAACGCCATATTGGTTTCCTGCATGATAATCATTTGACAGGGTACCAGTGTAATGATTACACACAGTCCGTCTGATGAACAGTCTATTTGTTATCGGCTTTAACATGATCTGCTGCCTCTTATGTATCATCCAGTAAAGAACAGAGTATGCCAAAATTTTCAGCAAGACATATGGAATCTTCTGTATTCGGAATAAGAGAATTCATTGCAAATTTAAAGTCCAGATGTAAAATATTTATCCCCCAAAATTTTACGTTTTTTAAAATATCGCCAACTCTATGGAGGCTAGTTACAGATATGATGATGCAGTCAGGCTCCTAATTCACAGGAACACCTATGGGATCATGAGGCCATCACTGTGTGACTTGATGGATGTACGCTATTGAGAGAGATCGCAGCAACTATAAAACTCCGGGGAAAATATTGTGACTGATCAGGGAAGGAAGAGGTGGAAGGTCGAGTGTGTCTCCTGCCTGCCTACTTTCTTCATACAATGGACCATGCAAATGACTAAAACATATGGGTCCATTCTCTTTGTATGAAATCCTTACTTCTGGGTTATGATCTCTTCATCCCAGAGGCATCCTGTCTCCAATTCCAGCTATTTACAAGCTCAGGGCTGTCATCATCCCAGTGAGACCCTCAGTGGAGGCCACCCAAGTCAGTAGAGGTCCTATCATGACGACGGGCAGAAGGAAGAAAGAGCTCCCTGTGGGTTGTTTTTCTCACTTGGGCACTTGGTCAACAAATTCCAAACAAAGATTTGCTTTTCACATAGCAACACATTACTCCTCCTGTTAGCAGTTTATCTAACCTAGAGTGAGAACACCCACCATGGCAGAAATAAACTTTCTGGTATCAAAATAAACTCTCCAAATTTAGGGAAAAGGGAGATGACAAAACTCAACCTCAGAATTTCCCAACCAAGCCAAGTGACAATAGTGTTAGTAGCGCTGTGCAATAGTAAATAGAGCAGTTACTCATTTGCTCAGCAATATCGAGTGTCCACTCTGAACCAGACACTGTCCTAAGTGCTGGGGATACAGCAGTGAACAACAGAGCAGGAAGATGAGTAAATATATAGTATGTTAGAGGGTGATAAATACTATGGAGAAAAAGAAAATAAGGCAAGAGAGAGAGAGACAGGGACTCTGGATGGTGGGCCAGGTTGCAACTTTAAAGCCTTACTGAGAAGATGACATTTGAGTAACGGCCTGTAAGAGGTGAGGGAGTGAACCAGGCAACTGTCTGGGACAACAGCAGGGGCAACAGCAAGTTCAAAGGCCCTGAGGCAGGAGCGTACCTGGCACATTGGAGGAATTGCAAGGAGGCCAATGTGGGTGGAATGGAGACAACTAGAGAGAGAAGAGTAGCTGGTGAGGACAGAGAGAGAACATGTAGTGTCTTGTGAATCACAGTAAGGACTTTCACTCTGAGTGACACGACCTGACTTACATTTTAAAAGGATTATTCTGGCTGCAGTCTTGAGAATAGATTGAACGATGGGGGGGGGGGGGGGGGGAGTGGAAATAAAGGTGGGAGACCAGGTAGGAAGTTATTACAGATGATGGTGGTTCAGACCAGGGAGGTAGCAGTAATGATGGAGAGAAGGATGGGTTGTGGATATAGCTGCAGATAGAGCCAATAAGATTGGCAGATAAATTGGATGTAGGGTAGAAGAGAAAGTCAGAGACTTCAAGGCTTTGAACCTGAACAGCTGGAAGGGTGAACTGAAATGCGGAACGCTAAAAGAAGCAAGTTTGGAACGGATGATCAGAAGTTCAGTTTGGGACATGTTAAATCTGAGTTGCTTCTCAAACACCCAAATGAAGATGTAAGGCTCTGGATATGCAGGTCTAGAATTGGGAGAAGAGATCCGGGCTAGAGGTGTGAATGTCAGCCACTAATACAAAGCTTCTCCACCTGCTGATCCGTCTTCCATGGTGCCTCTTCATGTTCAGAAATTGATCATTCCTTCACGCCCTTTGACTCTAGGAGGCCCTATTCCTGTGGACTTTAGTTATTCAGTGTCTTTCCTCCTGCAGAAATGTCCTAATTTCAGGGCTCAAATGAGTAACTGGAAAAGGAAATTATTACTATTCTAATATCTCTAGAACCAGAGCTTTTAAATTTTTCTCCATTAGTTACTAAAGAAGCTTGAAGGAGACCCTTTAAAAAGAAAATGAAGTAAGGAATTCTTTGGTAGAATTATTATAGAATTTAATTTGTGACCCACTTCATGGTAGCTTTGTGAGATATCCTCAACATTTCATTGTTATGGCACTGGAAACATTATTTGTCATTTTTCGCATGGTAATTAAAAGTTCCCTATTGACTCAGTTTCATCAAAATAAAATCTTCCGTTTCTTGTGACTAGTTTCCAAAATTTGAGGATGCATTATTGCTACACTGGCATTTTAAGATCTAAGAAGACTTCCCCTGGTCACCCGGGCCACACATTTGCCTCCCTTTAAGAATTTGATCATTCCGAAATCAAGTCTCTATCTTTAGCTTCTCTTCCAAAAATCACCTTAAATCCACTGATGATTAAATTGTAAGGAGGAGAATTTCTCCACACCAGACTAAGATATTATTAAGGAGTCAATCAGCCAATATTAGAAGTACTATTTTCTACTGACTTTTGCAAAATCTTAGATTGTGTCTGTCTTGTACTGAATAGACACAGCACATCACACAGCTCAGAGAATGGCCATGTTGCACTAAGCAAGACTCTTCTCCTGGACGTGGAATCAGAATTGTCTGTTCTGGCCACAATAATCCGTTTGCGTTTGTGACAATGACAGTGCTAAGGTACTCCTAAACCCTAAGTAAGTAAAAATAGTTGCCACCTATCTAACAAAGAACTCGTGTGACTTCTACATGCCTAAAAGCAAAGGAATTAATTTCTCACCTACTCCCCATCTGCCAAATAAGTATGCTGAACCTTCTTCTCTATCCCCATTCTCGATTAATCACAAACATAAGGAGACACATTTAACCGGATCCCTTTCTTATCAAGCTCACCCAGAAAATACCACTACATATAAGTAAAACACATCTTTCTAACTTACCCTGGTGTTTTTCGTTTAGGACTTCAAATTGACTCCTAGAGCAAGAGTCAGCCAACTTTTTCTGTAAAGGACCAGTAGTCAACATTCTAGGCTTTATGAGCCATACACTCTGTCATAACTGTTGGGCTCTGCCATTGTAGCATAAAAACAATCACAGATCCTATGAACATAATGGGCATGGCTGTGTTCCAACAAAACATCACTTACAAAAATAGGTGGCCAGAGTCGACTGACTCCTCTCCCAGAGCCGAGGCCTGAGCCTCCCTGCTCCTTCCACAAATATAAAACTCTACGTCTTCAGAAAACACATTGAACTCGTTTCTTACTTTATAAATTCGGGATAAATTAAAACTACGGATGTGAGACTGTTAAATAAACAACAGGATAATCATTTATAATAAATATAATAGTTCTTCTAATGGCCCACAGTGAATTAAAAAAGAAATCATTGACCCAACTAATGCATTGTATCAAACAAGAAGGCCCATTCAAAAAAAAAGCATATTTATGATATTATCTGCCAGAATAACAAAATACAGCTGCTACATAAGAAGCAGATTTTCAAATTTTAGATATTTACCTATATGCAACAATTTCTGCTTTTATCCAATTGCAGTATTCTTAGCTTGTAAATAGAGATGTCAGAAATAATATTCAGAGATTTTAAAACATATACTCACATCTGAGTGACCCATCGATAAGGACTTAAAACACTGGTGAGTGCTTCTGACTGTAATCCCAAAATTCCCAGGATGATGCAAACACAGGAGTGGAACAGGGTCTCAGATTCTCTCTGAGTGTGTGATTCTTGAATGAGCTATCCTAACTCTTTCTTGCTGAAACACGATGTATCAGTGCTAATTTTGGGGGGGTCACACAGATTGCAGTAGCCAGTCTCTAAGATGGCCCCCAGTGAAGCCCAGCCCCTGGTGTTGTCCTTCCCACATCGTATCGGGGTACGTCTGTGTGACCAACAAAATAAAGCATAAGTGATGGTGTGTAACCTCCGAAATTATATTGTAAAAGACACTGCAGCTTCCATCTTGGTTTCTCTGTCTTGCTCTGCAATCTAGATCACTTGCTTAGGATGGCCCACTGCCAAGTCATGACCTTCCTGTGAAGGGGCCCACACGGTGAGGAAGTGAGGCCTCCTGCCAACGTCCACATGAGTGAGCTTGGCAGTAGATTCTCCCACGTATGAGAAGACTGCAACCTGGCCAATAGCTTGACTACAACCTCCTGAAAGACCCAGGATCAGGACCCACCCCGCTAAGCTGCTCCTGGATTCCTGACCCTTACAGACAATGTGAGATAATAAATGTTTGTTGTTTTAATATGTTAAGCATTGAAGTAATTAGTTACATAGCAATAGATAATTAAATACAGACTAACAAATATCTAAAATGTAAACTGGTTTACATAAAAGCAGATTGTAATCCATTTGCAGTCAGTAGAGAAAAGACATTATATTCAAAGGCAGACAAGAAGTAAAACCTCTCCAGGTGTTGCAGCTAGACCCTGAAATGTGGCTCACACTGATAAGATTCAACCATTATTGTGAGTTCAAGTAGCCAAAATGTGAGGCAATACTTCCTTCTTAGGCCACGTCCTGGCCCTGAAATTCCCTCTTCCTTCCTTCCACCGATGTCAATGTGCAGATTTTGTTCGTTCTTCATGGTCCAGGTCAGTGCTCAATTCCTTCCCAAAATCTTTTCAGGCCACTCCAGCACCATGTTGCTGCCTTTTCTTAACCTCTATTGCATTTAATTCTATATCACAGAGTTTATGATTGTTAACTAGGAATTCATTTGATCTCCCTAAGTACTTTGAGAGCTGAGCACCTTTTTACAAGAATTCTCTACTTCTCACCTCACCCCACCCTTATCTCCGACATTATTCATTCACTAGCAAAAAGACCCTGTCTTATGATTGTTTTGGCAATTCTGAGTCATGTTCTATGATAGATACTGTATATGACTCATCATCAATTTTTAATCTCTTCCACATTTCCCTGGGGATTCTGGGCCTCCAAGGTTAAAAACTACAATTCCCAGACTCACTTGCAGCTATGATTCTGGATGCAATTCAGGTTATGCTAGTAAGATTCACTTGTGTGAGATTTGGAAGGTGGAAAAGAAATGAATGCTTATCTTTTGAGTTGTGATTGGCAAGAAACAGGCTCCAGCCAGCACAGTATTGGCAGCACACCAGCTTCAAGGCTGTAAGGAAGTTATAAAGGCACTAATGATGGCAGGAGCAGCAGGTTTCTGAGCTTGAGTCACAGCTCAGTCATAATCAAAAACTCAAGAGGCAGCTCTTGCCTCCAGGCCTTCCAGTGATTTGGTAAGCACCTAATTCCTTGTACTAAATCCCTTTCAGAGTGTGATGCCCCATTGGTTTCTGTTGCCTGCATTGAACCTTGACTGATAATATGTACCATGCAGCCTTCTTTTTTTAAGTCTATGGTGAGGACTGGGTACTTTTTTAAAAATTTCATTCATTCACCCATTCAACTCTCAATAGACATTTGCTGAATGAATAGATAAGTGGAGAAGAAAAGGAAGTCTCAAAGGAAAGATAATAATTTTAGGTTTTGATAACATGCTTGTGGGTTCTCCAGGTGGTGATAACCAACAGACAGTAGAATGTAGGGTTGTACTTAAGGATAGAAATCCCCAGCTTCCTTCATTACTCTGATTGGTGTTAGTGAGATGTCAAGTGAGGAGACTTAGCACTCACTGTTTGTTGATTACCTTAACTGGGTCGGAGTCTAAGCAAATGCACCCATTACTTTGAATAAGCAGATACAACGAGAGAGGATGAAGAGGAGAATGTCAGGGTTAACCCTAACTTTTTCTTAAATGCTTGGCAGTGAGACAAACCACAGTTTTATTACCATAAAATCTTCAACAACATTTCAGTAACTACCATAGTACTTTGAGGCCAATTTAAAAGAGTAGAATTACTTTCAACACCTCTGCTTGCTTCAGCAAAATTCAAGAAACAAAAAAGGAGGTATTCGCAGAATTTCCTCAGACGGGGCTTTTAAGAACTTGGGCCATCCAAGTCGTTCCACAAAGCCCTCCTAGACTCCTAGGAGACATAGAAAATTACTGCTACTTAAATATTTAATGTTAATTAAAACAAGCATATTAGTTTCCAATCAAATTTATGATAGAATGGAATTATATTTTCTAAGTGTTACATGTATACTTGATACTACATTAAAGCCTCCTCTACCATCAAAGTATATGGTACATTTACACCCATTTTTACAGCATTTGGATCAGAATTTTATTATTTTAAATGGCTATAAATGTTCATAGTAGCTGTAGCTTTATCGTATTGTTAATAATTTTTATAACGCTGTGGTGCCCAGAGCTGAATATGAAGCACGCACCGAACATGACACGTTTTTTCTGTGTGAAACATACACTGTAATACACTGCAGTCAAAGTTAGGCCCTGTCTCTCCTTTTTGCAAATCTCCCACAGGACTTAGAACAGTCTGGGCTGCAAAGAAGGTGTCCAATATTTTCTTGTTGCTTGACTAAATGCTTCAGTGTGTGTATATCTGTAAAAACATTCTCTATCTGAAAAACTAGTGATTTCTTGACTTGACATGATCTCTTCTCTTTCGACTGTTTTTCCCACATTGTTCATTCATCCTTCTACATATCAGAGGGTTTCCTGAACCCAAGAACTGTCCCTGATGAACTACACGATACTAAAATCATGAGTCTGGTGGAGATTAAATGACTTCCCCAGCTAATTTCCTCTTTGCTCTGACTGTCTCTATTCGAAATAAACCCATGTACCTGCTCGCTGAGCCTGCGTGCCAGCCCACAGTCAGGTCTCATGCCTCAGTGTCACCTGTCTCTATCACCCAGGCATTCATTCTACCATCACGCATTAAGGACCTACCACCTGCTAAGCACTGGGAAGGCAGTAGAGCACATGGATAAGAGGATAGGCTCTGAAGCCAGACTGCCCAGATGTTTTTATCCTAGCTCCACCTGTTACTAGCTGTGTGGCATTGAATAAGTTACTGAACCTCTCTGGGCCTGAGTTTCCTCATTGACACAATGGAGATTACATCAGTACCTACCTCACAAGGGCATTTTTGGGATCAAAGGAGTTACTATGCATCTTTTAGGATAGCACCTGGCACACAGAATGTGCTCAATAAATGGTACTAGTCTTGGGGATACAAAATTGATTGAGTAATCTTGCTCTCAGGGAAATCACAGTAGGTAGTCAATGGCCCCTCACTTACAGAATAAGTGTTGTGACAAAGTGAAGCACAGACAGAACTAAATGTTTAAATTAGACTGCAAGTCTGGGTAGGCTTCCTACAGGAGTCAGTATCTGAGCCAAGCTCTGACAAAAAAGTATGGAGAAGACATTCCAGCCAGAGGCAACAACATCACGAAGGCCTGGAGGCGGAAGGCCGAAAACAGCCTGAGGGATGACCCACGGTTCAGTGGCGCTGCGGCAGCAGCTCAAGCCAGAGGGGCTGGTAGGAAACAGCTGAAGATGGACCTCGCGTGCCACCCTAACGGATGTGAGCTTTCACACTAAAGGCGGAGGCCCACTGAAGAACTTGGATTTTGAAAAGATCATTAGGGCCTTAGCGTAGAAATTGAAGATGTGTCAGACAGCACCAAATTTCACAATCTGCAGAAAAAGATAAGAAACAACCACTCTCTTTACTTTCTTCCTCTGCTGTCATTCTACCCAATAAGGATTTGTCAAGTCTCTGCTCTGTGCCCTCCCACTAAGCCAACGTTAATACCCTTAATGAAGTTTATTCAAAATAATAACTTTAAAATTATACCTGGACTCTAGATTCCAGTACGCTACATTAAAAGAGAACTTCAGACCATCTATATTCAATCGGCTCTACTAGAAAATTAGCAATGTGGCAGCCCCTATTGTTTTATGAAATTTCCATTCATTCATGAGGTGAATCTGCCCAAAGATACAGATGAGGATCATAACTCTATTTTTAACTTCCTATTCTTCCCAGGTTAAAACTGGTTAATTATATTTCAGAAGTAACC